TTTATATAAGACATTATGCATTGTGTTCCATACGCTTCGAGTATAGAATCAATTGCATATGCTATAATATTTGCGTGTTCTAAAATTTTCCAAATGCCTAGGGCATTAAGAGGGAAAAAGGATTGGAACCATATATGACTAAAAGTGGTTAATCAACTGTCAAGAGGAAAATCTAAGGTTCGCCAAGGACTAGTCGCTTGTGAACAGTTGGAAGTATAGTAATGGAAGGACCATACTGACATTATTATTATTAGATATGATTCTATTAATAATGAGTTGTCATATGGATAATATGACAATGTTTCCATATTGGGAGTTGGACGTCAAGAATTTATGTCTAGATTAGAAACTTTTATGCAAGAAGGATATTCAAAGGAATGTACTTTGAATGTGAGACTTCGTGTCTATGGAATTGTCTTGCAACAATCTCCAGTAGAGGACTTTGTAATTTCATTGGCAATAGTCTTTGTGACTTTGGTGCTGCGACATTACGAAAGGATCATTGCATAAAATGTTAGAATCTAACATATTCTATAAGTGGCAAGAATTTGGTATTCTTACACTTGTGGTAAGGATTGGGAATTGTGAAATGAGTTTGATTGAAAATGTTATTCAATTATACTATTTCACAAAGTAAAGACCATAGGAAAACATAGTGTGCATGCTAAGAGCATGGGACAATTGTTGTTATAATTCAAGTAATAAGTTGATTACTCGAAACATTATACAATGAATAATGTGTAATCAATATGGTGACTAAATAAAAGGAGTTTTATTTATACTCAAAAGTTTGGGGCCACATTGGATTCGATTATTATTGTGTTTCACTTTGCATGTTTTGACTTCCTGAATAATAAGATTATTCGAACGTTCCACAGTCGCTCATACTTTGGGAGTAGGTATGAAAGAAGATTGTCATGAATTGGTTGTAGATTGCCTAAAGTGTATTATACATAGCAAAGGTTTGCTGCAACGTTCATGAGTGCTTACGAATATGATTTGAACATTGGATTAAACCCACGCTCACTTGGATCGCTTCATGGATTTTATCACGAGTGATTGGTGAGACGATAATATCTTATATTCTTGAAACCGAGATGTGTGAGTTGTATCTTGCGAGTCGGTTTCACATTGATAATATGTAAACGCACCAGTAACTTGGTGTTATAAAACGTATTGTTGTGTGTGATTCGGTGAGTGAGTACAAGCGAGTATTGAGTCGAAGTTTATCCGTTCCTTTTACCCAATGTGGGATAAAAGCGATATATGTGGGCCCCTCGATGATTTAGTGATGACAAAGGAAAGTGCTCGGCCGGGCCAGGACTGATTTGATTTGTTCAATTAGTCAGTCGTCGTAAATCGGAAATAGGGAAACAACACATAGACTGAGAGAATGATTTCAATCCATGTCTCACGTCTATACGATATCTAGAATGGAGGAATATATGATTCCTTATCTAAAGGACGCGTATCTGATAAGATCAAAGTTGACAGCGGCTTTTGAAAGCTACGATTGTGGATCAGGATCTGAAGTTATATGCAGAATAGTTATTAGAATTATCCAAGTGGGAGACTGTTGGATTAGTGTCTAAGCCCAGAACTATTTTGGTATGTACTTCACCCGATGGTGCATGGTCCTTTTGGGTTGCCTTCACCAAAGCAACTTGATAGGATGAATTATGGAGAAAGAGAGTTAATTATGATTTATTGATATATTATATGAATAATATATTAAAGGAGAAATCATATTGTTTAATTAATATTAGTCAATAATTAATTAAGAATTAATTTTGTGGTTAAAAGAGATTAATTAAACTTAGGGGACTAGAATTGTAATTATAAGATAATTGCAATTGGACTATGGATCACCTTGGAATATAGGTTGGACGAAATCTATGGGAAGCCCATATGATTTTCGTCCAAGGCATGTTCCAGAAGGGGTCCATGGACTGCTTAGAGCTTAAGTAGTCAATTTAGGGTTTCCATGTTAGATAACCCTAATTGCCTACCTATTTAAAGACCCCTTGAGACCCAAAAACGTGGCTAACCTTTTCAAGAGGGTTTCTGGACGTTTTTGGAGTTCTCATTCACTTCTCCTTCTTCATCCTCTTGCTCTTGGTGTTTGTGAGCCATTAGAGGAGTGACATTTGTGACTCTAAGCTTTTAGAAGCCAATTACAAGAAGGAATAGATTGTTATTGCTACATAACAATCAAAGGTAAGATCTAAACCCTATTCTTGTGTTTATATTGATTATCACATGCTAGATCTAGGGTTTGTGGCTTTGGATGATTATTGCATGTTCATTAGACAAACTAGATCCAAAGCTTTAGGGTTTGCATGTACACCATAGGAATGTTGTAGTGCTCATATCCCGTCATGAAGATGGGTCATCTTAAGGCTTAGGGCCTTTGGAAAGAGAGATCTAGACCCATTTCGGTACGGATAATGTAATTGAGGTGATCCAGGAATTAGGTTGTCCCGTGGAGCCAAAGGGGTATATCGGTAAAGTAACAGTTCGAGCTCTTTATGAATTTTGGATTTTTGTTCGGAAGGTTTTGAGGTGACGATAAGTTAATAGATGTGTATAGTTTCTCTCCACCTTTCCGTGGATATAAAGAACGTCAAAAACGGAGTTGAAACGAAGAAGTTATGGCCGTTTGAAGTTGGAGTAGTTCGGGTGAGTGATCGTTGACTTGTTGACCAAGTTCATTTAATGCTCACAACGTGAGCTTTAAGGGCTCACGACGTGAGGAGCGCCTGATGCTCCAAAACCCTAATTCCCGGGTATTTAAAGGTATAAGATGATTAGGGTTGCTTCTACTTAGCCTCTTTCACTCCCAAGATCTCTAGAAACCCTGATCTCATCCCCCACTGAAGTTCTTGGTCATTTTGGTGTTATTCAAGAGATTTTAGAGGCTTGAAGCTCATTAAGTAGAAGAAGATCATTGGTGGTGCATTGGTTAGCTTCTTGGGTTCATCATCAGCTAGTTGTGGAACTTTTGGAGCTTTGTAAGTCTTCAAGTTCATGCCTTTCCTTTCCTTGCTTGCTAGATCTAAGTTGCCATGCATTTTATGGCTTGTTATGTTGGTTAGCATGCATGGAACCCATAAAGTTGGCAACTTTATAGATGATGGTGGTATCTTAAGCCTTATAAGTCTCAGATATGGATTTTGGTCAATGTTTTGGACTCCAAGTTTGACTCTTGGACCTTTTTACTCCATTTTGACCCAAGTTGGTATTTAAGTCATGTATTGGACATATGTGACTGGAAAGCTTCGATTTTTATGGTCCTTGGGGTCAAGGAAGACCCTATAAACTGTCCCATGTTAAGGCTTAATGGATTAATAGCTTAATGCTCATTTTTTGTCAGATCTGGACTCACGACGTGAGGAATGAAGCCTCACGACGTGAGTACGTATTCGAGGAAGTTCATGGACTGAAACCACGACCTCACGACGCAAGCATGAAGGGCTCACGTGGTGAGCAGCCCCTGTGCAAGTTTTGGACTCTACGATTGTGGGCTAGCTTGGTATTGGACTTGTCTTTTGGTTTGGGCTCATAATGGACTAAGGATTTTAGAGTAATGGACTTCTGGTTGGGCTTGCCCTAATGGGCATTGGTTTATGAATTGGGCCTTAGTGGGCCCAATGTAGTTAGGCCTTGATTGGGCCCAATAGGCTTGGACTTTTGGTCCATCGGAAACTCATTGGTTCAGAAAAGTGATTGGCCTTTGGGGAAAGGCCCATGTAAGGGTTTTGGCCCAATTGGAAAATTGGGCCATTGATGGATATTTATGGTGCTGATAGTTTTGGGCCTTGGTTGTGAATCTTGTTGGGCCAGGGGTGAAACGGTCATTTCACCCCAAGTAAGGACTATTGGGTTTTGACTAAGTGTTATTTTGGTACTGATAGCTCGGGGAGCCGAAGGATCAGCAGTTCGGGGAATTGCCAGTTAGCAGCCAGAGGATTATCCGCGGGACTTCAGCGGTGCGAGGTGAGTTTCCTCTTGTTTGTATGGGTCTACGACCACAATGCCGACACATTTGGTTTGTGCTTGATAGGAAGACCCCGGGGGTTAGCCCTTGGTCTCAGTTATGTTATATGTTCCGGATTACGATCCGATGTCGGGGCAAGCACGAGAAATGTTTGTATGCTTGGTGTCTTTGTGATTTTTGCATGTGTCTATTTGTATGTTTCCGGACTTCGGTCTGATGATGGGGTAAGCCCGAGGAATGTTCATATGCTTCTGGACTTCGGTCCGATGTCGGGCGGGGCCCGAGGAAGGTTTATCAGTATGTTATTCCAGACTAAGGTCTGATGCCGGGGCAAGCCTGAGGAATGTTTGCATGATAGATTATACTTGTTGTTTGTGTGATTCTTGTATGTGCCTGGTAGGGAGGTGAGTGTGGGAGAGGTCCCGTATCTTATCACTAGCTGAGTATGGACGGGGTTCCATGACTCATCAGTAGCAGGACAGGGGCGGGGCCCAGGTTAGGCGAGGCCTTAGGATAGGAAATACATTTAGAGTATGTTTTCTTTATGTGCTAGTATGATTATATGATATTGTTGCATGTGTATAGCGGGCGGGGCCTAGAGACAAGCAGGGCCTAAGAGAAACATATATGTATACCGAGCGGGGCCCGATGCCGGATAGAGTCTGATGTCGGGCAGGGCCCGATGTGGCGGGCGGGGGCCCAATATATGTGCTTGTGTGTATGGTATGTGGTAGTTGGGGAACTCACTAAGCTTCGTGCTTACGGTTTTCAGTTTTGGTTTCAGTTACTTCTAGTTGCAAAGAGAAGAGCTCGGGATGACTGCATTGCACACACCAAGATGTTTTAGCTTGGGATGTTTTACTCTGATATAATGAACATGTGTTTTGATATGATACTCTGATTTGATAGGATGACTTAGGTTTTTGGATACAATGATTTTGATAACTATGGTTTTATTAATATTTAAAAACAAAATTTTTGGACCATATTTTTGGGATGTTTCATGAATGATCTTGTTTCGACTGCATTACTGATGGGTGATCTTAAATATAATGATAATCCAGACAAAATAACTTATGTTCTTGGATATGGACATCTCAAGACTTTTCTGGATGATTATTTTGCACATCTGGCTCTGACAGATATCGATCTTTCTAATCACTTCAACAGAAGATTGAAAGTTCCTAAGGCGTTGCTAAAAGGGAAAATAAGCATAAAGGATTATGATGATGTAAAGATTGTGCATGATCATTTTGGTGTTGTGTTAATTGGAAAAGGGACGAAGAAGAGAAGGAAAAAGTTCTTATTTCATGTTGATGATGTTGAAAGGTATTCGAATACATATCTTATCAGTATTCTACTTCACATCAACAACTGTCAGAAAAAACAAGAATGAAGACAGAGCGAAGATCAGTAAGATTATTCTATGGTATATGTAGATATGAGAAGTTTTGCTACAGACAGTAAAGATATTACCCAAAGTTAGATGATTCGTCTTATCTCACAAAGGGGGATAATGTTAGGTCAAATTTAGTTGTGAGAAGTCGAATTGGTAGTTGTCTTTAAGCGAAGTATCTGTAAATAATGAATGTCCACATGACTTCACTATCTTAATGTATTTACTATGCATCAGGTTGTTTCGTACTGTCATGTATAGTCCTAGTATTTTTTTTAATTCGTGAGTACCCTATAAATAGGGTAGGTACTTAGAGGGTGGAGTAACTTTTGCATCATTCGTATTATCCTTTCTTGTACGCGAATTCTTTGTGCTCATACGAAATACAAGTGATGAAACCAGATCTTTTTTAGATCGACGTGTTCGTACTCTGTTTTCTTAATCGATTGACTTAAACACATTCAAAATAACTTATCAAATAATCACTTTTTCATATACTTATTCGTATATATATATATATATATATATATATATATATATATATATATATATATATATATATATATATATATATATATATGAATGTATATATTAATATAATCATATATATTATTATTCATATATGAATATACATATTCATATATGAATATGATCTGTTCTGTCTACGGCTGTAAATGAACCAAACAAAAATGAACAAGGGCTTGATTATGTTCGTTCGCTTAAGTTATCCGAACAAACGAACGAACGCAAATGGATAAAAAACAAGTTTTCTTGTTCATGTTTGTTCGTTTAACAAATTAATTCGTTCATGTTTTTCCGTTTATGTTCGTTAACATGCTAAACATAAACAAACACAACTGAACATATATGAACATAAAAAAAACATATGATATAGTAACGTAATAAAGAACAATTGAACATATATGAACATAAATAAACTTAAACGAACGTTCAAAAACATAAATGAACGAACAAGACAATTGTTCATGTTCGTTCGTTTAACTAAACAAACGAGAAATAGTGTTCATGTTCGTTTATTTATTAAATAAACAAACATAAACGAACTTCCTGCCGAAGGGTTCGCCGAACATTCGATTCGTTTACAGCCCTAGTTCCGTCGGTCCGGTACGCTCGAGTGCTTAAACGACAGATTCGAAATGAGGGGTCTAGATTCATTCTCTCGTTCTCAACCATTTTTTTTCTCAATTGAACCCTTATCCGCCTCCTCCTTCGCTTCTCTATCTCCCTTCCCTCTCTCTCTCTCTCTCTCTCTCTCTCTATATATATATATATATATATATATATATATATATATATATATATATATATATATATATATATATATAGGGATAGGTTATAATGTGAATATATTTATTATGTGGTCGTAAGAACAATTATGGATGGATGTAAAGATTGAATGGTTATGATCTTAGGGTCTATGTTATTATAATGGAATATTATGTACCATATAATCACCCAAATCTCATTTTAAAAGTATTTTAGTCAAGTAATATAAAAATTTTTAAAAATTGCAGATTTTAGGGAATAACTAATTTTCTTAATTTTTAAAATATGATTTTTGGAATAATATTCAAATATTCTGAAAGAATAAGTATACTATTATCTTGAAAAATAACAACATTCATGAACCATATAAGAATAAATATTCTGACAGAATATACATAATACATATTTTCATTGTATGAAAAATATCAAACTTTTGAACCATGAATAATAAACATTCTTAAAGAATAATCATGTATTATTAACATTATTCAAGAATCTAAGGTCCAAATATTAAAAAAACACATTTGAGTCATATTCTATAAGAATACAATACCATTCATAGAATTTTTGTTACCTCATATAAGAATATAATGTTTTAGAGTAAGTCGTTTTTAAAAGAATATACATTCTATAAGAGTGTAATGTCATTCTTGAAAGTATAAGCCATTCTTGTTTCCTACTTCAATAGTTTGTACCTTATGATATACTTTGCCTTGTTGTTGTGGTGAATCACAATTGTCATGAAATTGTCTCTTAATTTCCATCCCATCATTGTTGTTCTAGGCAACTCTTCTGCATTCTGAGTGATTCTGAAACAAAATATGTATCCAATCAAAACCAAGTGCACTCTAAATTTGGGCAATGCTTATCACCTGGTGGGAAAAGATGAGAGACAAAGGTTAATCTCAAGTGACAAAAGAAATCAACCCGAGATCGTTACATTCAAGGCGTTCCAAAGAAAAGATGGAAATCCTAATGTGAATAAAGAAGGTTTTTCAAGAACCACCAAAGACAACAGACAAACCAAAGTGAACAAAAGTTGCACATTTTGTGGGAGGAATGGTCACAAGAAAGGGGGGTATTTTAAGCTAGTAGGATACCCAGAATGATGGCCTGGAAAGAAAGAGAAACGGAAACCGAAGGCATCGGCTTGCACCGAACTCAATTCTAGTCCTATACCATAACTAACCAACAAACAATACCAGTTGTTTGTAAAACATTTTTCTGGCACCAATGGTGACGAGGTAATAGGGCGAGTTGCCAACATGGCATGTAAAGAAAACAATAAAGGTTACTGGATTATTGACTCAGGTTGTACCGAACACATAACTTACTTACCTAGCTTATTGGAGACCAAGAAAATAACTTTTTTTAAGTCCCCGGTTGTTATACCCAATGGTGAATCCCTTCCGGTTGAAGGGAAGGGGGATTGTACTATCATAGGAGGAGTGAAAGTGGACGAGGTTTTATGTGTTCCAATTTTCAGATGCAATTTACTTTACGTTAGTCGCATAAGTAAAGACATCCAATGTGCAATAACGTTCTTTCCTGATTTTTATGTGATGTTGGGGTTACAAACGAGGAACTTGATTGGTGCGGGTAGATGTGATGGTTGATTGTATCGAATGGGGATAACCAAGGAAAGGAAGGCCATGGTGACTGTCATAGACACTTAGCACAAAAGACTGGGTCACGCCTCAAAGGAGAAGCTAGCTAAGCAAACAACCTAAACAATACGAAGAGATAAAAACATAAGTATGTAAACAATATCTATGCTATCAATATCCAATAATATATATATATATATATATATATATATATATATATATATATAAAATTCAATCAAGTGAACATCTTGTATCTAACATCCAAACATTACTCATAAATAAGTACCATATCTGACATGAAATCTATAAATTTGCTGAAATTAGTTGTTTCTTGGTTTTAAAAAACTATTTTTTGGGTTAAGAATAGTTATTTCATTTATAACATAATTTTACATGTTAAAAACAAAAATGCTATCACATCTTTAAAACGTTATACTAACTATTTAAAAACATGATTTTTTTGTTGAATTTTAGAAGTTAAAAATCATTATTATTATATATATATATATATATATATATATATATATATATATATATATATATATTAATGGGGCCCATTTGGGGGTTCGGGACGGGACTTACCTCCGGCCCTGCCCATGCCTCCGATTTTTTGAACAAATATCTCCCGTATGTGATCGGGGCCCCATGAGTTCGGAGTCCCACGAGATTTTTTAAGATCCCTAATTTCATCAAGCATTATGCAAGAATTTGCTCAACTACGTGAAAGTATGCAATTTGCAGAGTTCTAAACAGCCATACCAGAAGAAACGATTCTTGAAAAAAATAGAGTTTGGGATACATGAAATAAATTGGATCGCTCATATGCCAACAATTTACTAGTTCCTATTGCACATATTCTTGGGATTTCAACAGAAAGATCTAAATTAAAGAGGGCATCTGAAGATTTCAAGTGTGAAATAGAAAATGCATGTTGGGGCAGGTGGGTGAGTGTTGGATTTAGGCTTCAATATCTTTACTCCACATCCATTTCATCGAGGCCCTCAATCTCAATGCAATGACCCATTACTTTTAGATTTAAACATTAGGTCTTAGATCTCTTTTATATATTACAGGCCCTCAATGCCGTTTGGCCCAAGTGAACATCAAGAAAACTACAAAGTACAAACGAGCAATTAAGCGTTACACGATGGTGCCGTTTCCTCCAAATATCCAGCTAGCTGGTAAAACTACGGACCGGTTCCACGTGATCCGGTCTCTTTTCAATTTTGGTAAACCGGTTTTAGGCAAGACCAATATTTTTTCGGTTTTGGGTTGTTTTAAACCAGTTTAGTCAGACCGTCTTTGCCATCGTTTTTTTTATAAGAATGAGGTAATACAAGAGAGCAAAAAGAATATTTGGAGCGGAAGAAATGAGTGAAAACAATGAGGTATTTTTTGAAATTATATTTTCTTTATTAGGTCATTTAATATATATTGGGTGGTTAATACATGTTTATATTTTTTATCTTTTACCTCTTATTTTCTAATTATATTTTATTTACCCTATATATTAGTTTTAAATATTTATTTATTTATTTACTAGTTAATTATTTTTATCAAATATTTAATGAAATTCTACTTATGAAATATAAATTTATAATGATTATATAATATTTTTATTTATTTTTATAATTATGAAATTAATTGTTTTTATTTTATGTTTATAAAATAAAATTTTGGTATATTTTATTTTTATTTTCTGTCAAAGCACACGTGGTTAGCTTTGGTTCAAATTGTTCTGAGTTTATCTCTTTAGTTTGTTTTATCTCTTTGTTTTTAAATTGTTTTTGATAGATGTTAGCTCCTGAATATCAGGATCCAGAATTGTATTTATTCGAACGTATCAATTGAATGAAGGCATGATTTTGAGCCATAGAACTTTTCATGGTATCAGAGCAGGCGAATAAGAAATCCTAAAAATGGGGAAAGACGACGGTGGGAAGAATAAAAGTGGTTCCAGTAATCCGCCGTCGGAAAAAATAGAGGCAAACTCGCCTTTCTACCTTAGCCCTCAAGATAGGCCAGGTAATTTTATCACTCTGACCAAGCTGCGAGGAGAAAACTATGACGATTGGGCTGGTGACATACGAACCGCTTTGGAAGCAC